AAATCTAAAATTAAAGGACCGAATTAAAAGGATTATAAATTTGATTTAGTGACTAGAATGTAAGAGTTACAAGTTTAGATGGCTACTGAAAGGGTTTAACCTTTAGTTAATTACACAGATACCCCTCCCCCTTAAACGACGTCGTATGTAAGAGGGTTTATAAACCCTAAACCGGTTGGCCCTTCGGGCCAACCATTCATTTCTTCATTTCTCTTCTTCTCTCTAACAGAGAGAAGAAGATTTCTCTCTGGCTTCTCTCTAAATTAGAGAGAAGCCGGCCCGGTCAGCCACCGCTGTCGGGCTCCGATTGCTGCCGCCGGCCACCGTTAGCGGTGGCCGGAAATTACAAAACCCCCCCAAATCAAAGCCTCTGTTTTTCTATATCTAGATCTAAGGTTATTTTAGCTTAAAACCTTACCAATCGTCGTAGATCTAGGATATTTCTCTTCGACGTTTTGGTTCTCTGATGATTTGTGGAGGTTCTCACGACGGCGATTTTCTCGGTAAGTCTCTTTTTCTCTTCTTTTGGTTTGTATTTCCTGGGATCGTTGGTGTAGTTCTTGCTTTGTTGGTTGCTGTGTTCTCTTTCTCTGTTTTTTCTTTTCTGTTTTTTTTTTCTTGTCGTTCTCTGCCGTCTGTGGCTGTCTTTTTTCTTGCAGGTGGGGTGGCTTTTATAGCCACCACCGAGGCTCTCGTTGGACCGGTTCCAGAGATGAAAGGCCCGGTGAGTCACCATAGCTATGGTGGTGACTCGCCATAGGCTCAACGTGGGTAGCTTCTCGACGTTATGGAGTGTCGGCAATGGCGGTGGAGGCGTCGGCAGTGGGGCATTGGACCACCTGGCAGTGAGGCGGCGGCTGGGATTCTTAAAGCATCAGAGGCGGCTGGGATTCTGGAAGCATCAGAGGCGGCTGGGATTCTGGAAGCATCAGAGGCGGCTGGGGTGGCTAGGGTTTAGAAACCCTAGCTGAAACCTTACTAATCGTTTAGGGTTTCTGGTTGTCTGGACCGGTTCTGGTTGGTTTGTAACTGGGCCGGTCCAGTTGTAATTATTTATTAAATAATAATATATAATATTGATAATAATAATAATAAATAATGATAATAATAATAATTATTATAATAATAATAATAATACTAATAATAATAATAATTTTAATAATAATAATAATAAATTTAAATGAAATGAAAAAAATGATGTCTACACCGGGCTTCGTACTGATCAATCCGAAAGCAATGGCTAACTTCTCACTATGAGGACTCAAGGCCCCTTCCTTCCGTTCCTCATCCATATCTTGAAGAACCTCTGATGTATCGGGTACAAATCCAGCCTTCTCAAAAGCACGTCGGCTTCATCCAACATGTTGTAAATTTCTTTGCAGCGAGGATGCACTTTGTCGCTGACGAGAAACTCATGAACAACTCTGTCAACCTCAATAGAGCTGCAACCAGGAACATTCTTCATTCCCTTGTTATTTAGAAAGGTTCTTATTCGAGCTACATCGTCCCATCTACCAGCTCCTGCATAGATATTTGACAAAAGAACATAAACCCCAGGATTTTCAGGCTCCAACTCAAGAAGGCGCTTGGCCACCGATTCCCCTAGCTTGATGCGTTTATGAACCCTACAAGCTCCAATCAAAGAACCCCAGATTGCACCATCTGGTTTCATTTCCATATTAAGAATCAAAGCTTCTGCTCATCAAACAGCCCAGCTCGCCCTAGAAGATTCACCATGCATCCATAATGTTGCAAATCGGGTGAAAATGCATAATCTTGGACCATTGATCTAAAATACAGATGTCCAAGATCAAGCAAAGCAGCATGACTACAAGCAGATAACACACCAACGAATGCGATATTATCAGGCTTGTATCCTTCATCCGTCGTTCGTGCGAAAAGCTCAAGGGCCTTCTCTGCCAGCCCATGCATTGCTAGTCCAGATATCATTGCTTTCCAAGAAGCCAAGCTTTTCTGTTTCGTACCATTAAAGACAAGTTGTGCTGCTTCTATACTTCCGCACTTGGCTTACATATCAATAAGACTCGTCCAAATAGAGATATTATTTGAACACTGAAAATTCTTGTCTATATAAGCATGAATCCATTTGCCAAGATCCAGAGCACCAAGGCCAGCACAAGCTAGAAGAATGCTCAAGAAAGTGACGTAGCTCGGCTCTATATTCGATTGTAGCATTCGCTGAAAAAGCCCCAAGGCTTCTTTATGGCAGCTCATATGCATGATCAATTGGATGAAAAAGCCCCAAGATCCAGAGCACCAAGGCTTCTTTATGGCAGCTCATAAGCATGAATCGTTTGGATGAAAAAGGCCAAGCTAAAAAATGCTTGATCAAGTGGAAAGGACCGACGAAAATCAATAGGATTTACGGGGATCGGCTCGATGATACGCCGTTGGCGCACAATTTGGCGAGTCGGGTGGAAAGCTGAGTTTCGAGTTTCTTTATGGCAGCTCATAAGCATGAATCGTTTGGATGAAAAAGGCCAAGCTAAAAAATGCTTGATCAAGTGGAAAGGACCGACGAAAATCAATAGGATTTACGGGGATCGGCTCGATGATACGCCGTTGGCGCACAATTTGGCCAGTCGGGTGGAGAGCTGAGTTTCGAGTTTAAAGAGCAGGCAATCCCCCCCCCCCTCATGTGCAATTTACTGGAAATGTTAAAAATCATTAATGTTTTAGGTAATTTTTTATCGATTATGTTAAAAAATAATAACAAAACTAATAGCATCTTACCTTAATATAAGGTTATCGCATGGTATAATTTCCCAGAAATAAAATATAATATTGATTATCTTGAGTTTGGAAATTATAATTTTAGTATCTAAGCTTTTAATTTTTTCAAAATCATACCGAACGTTTAGTTTTTATTTCATTTTAGTACCATGTCGTTCAAAAATTTAACATTTTTAGTAACTAACCTATCAATTTTTGTCCGTTTTAATATCTAAACTTTTAATATTTTTCAAAACTTAATGTTAAGTATTGAACAATGTACTAAAATGAAACAAAAACTAAAATTTAGGTACAATTTTGAAAAAAATAAAAGTTTAGGTATTGAAATATATCAAAATTAATAGTTTAGATACTAAACGTGTAATTTATCCTAAAAAGTATCTCATACTAAAGACAAACAAATTTGTGGTCCAAAATCTTTGATTCGAAGCTTTAAAAGTTTGCAAAAATTAAGGAAATTAAGCCCACCAAAATCCCCATTCTTGCACATTTAGATACCATTTTACGAACTTTCCTATATTCCTTTGTCATTTTCCCATTTCCCCATTATTCTATATATATATATACTATCAACAACACATTCAACGACTTCTACCTGTGGACCTAAAAGAATTTTTGAACATCAAATCCCAGAATTCAATTCCTTACAAACAAGAAGAATTGCAAGTGAAGAGATGGAGAACACAGGTCTACGACGTAGTTACGGAGACAAGGGTCGTCGGGTTTAATATGGGACGACAAACACTTATCAGGAGACTTGAACCAAATGAAGCTCAACAATCAACGTACTCGATCCAACGGAGGCGACGGAAGTATGTATTGAACGATGATAAAGCTTCCGCCGCCTCCGCCTAGCTTCTATTCTCCTCCTCCTAGGGTTTCCGGTTGCGAATTATTTATATATAATTTATGTATTTATTTATATTTGCTTATTTTATGTTAGAAAGTTATAAAATCCGTTTATTTACAAGTTATTTATTATTTATAATTATGTATGCATATATTTAAGTATACACTACATGTTTAATACTTTAATTATCATTTTTGTTTCGTTTTGATTATTTAAATATTATATTTTAAATCACGTCTAACACTACGATTCTGCTTCTTTTTGGTCACGACCACCACTAAAAAAATTAACGGTTTGCAACGATTTCAATGGAGCATGAGGTTTTTATTTGGGTTTTAAAAATTCGTTCAGAAAAAAAAAGAGGGAGAAAGACGATCCTTAATTCAATTAATTGCATCATGATTGAGATGCAATATAATTGATTTTTTTTTATTTTACAAATTGATATATGAACTTGGTATCTAACTTTTTTTAATCTCAAATTGGTATACAAAATCAAAAATAATTTTTAAATCAGTACCTGAACTTGGAGAAAATTATTAACATAGTACATGATGCTAATGTGATATTTTAACAATGAATCATATTATAACACATCACTTGATAATCCTATCATTTTGACCAATCAATGCCACGTTAACAGTTTGATTGGTTGCTGAGACGCCAAGTAAAAAAAAGTACCAATTTGAGAAAATTTTCCAAGTTCAAGTACCAATTCGAGACAAAGCAAAGTTCAGGTGTCAATTTGATAAAAGTTTCCGAGTTTAATTACCAATTTGTATAATAAGCCAAAAAGAAACATATCTTTGTGTCGTAATTTGGGTTTGGCGGGGGATGGGCATGGGACGGGTCGGGTTTTTGGCCACCTGAACCCCGACCCGAAACATATACCAAAAATCTGATCACGTTCCGTCCCAAAAAAATTTAGGTTTTTTCGCTATGGATTCGTTCCGAATTTTAGACTAAAACCCCAACTTTAACCCGATCATAATATATTAAAATTTTAAAATAATTAAAATAATATATTTATTATATTTTAAAAAGTTAAATTAATATGATTTATAATAATTTTTATGTTTTAATAATATAAAATATTATTTTTAAAATATTAAATATATATATATATATATATATATATATATATATATATAAATTAATCGAGTCAGGTTAGGTCGATGATTTTTCAATTAAAACCTAATCTCAACTCGACCCGAAATTTTATATCATATAACCCGATTCAAGCTCCAAAATTTTATTAAAAAATGCTGCTCCTATAAGGTTGCGTTGAAATCCGTCGGGTTTAGATATTTTGACCACCCTTGTTTGGCCCTTCTATTATCGGACTTCAATAAAAGCCCCTATTTATCAATCGGTGAATCTTGAAATTCTACGGGCAAAATGGACCTTTCCTTTTACATCTCAGAATTCCGAACCCGCAACACTTTACCCTAAGGGCTAGGGCTCGATTCAAAAATTTCCCCTCAGATTTTCCCCGGAAAAAAATAAAATATGGACGGAAATCTAGAGATCTCGTTGGATAAACTCCCCGTTAAACGCCTCGACGCCATCGAAGAAAACGGCGCCGAACGATATCCTCCGTAAGCTTCACTCTCTCTTATCAAGTTCCTTCTTCATTTCCCCATTGGTTCGTGCTAACGTCTTTTTTTTTTTTTTTGCTATTGAATTGCTTTATTATATAGAGATTCGAGCTACGATGAGAAGCGTGTGTCGCTTATACGGAGAATAGACTTCGCGTGGGCTGTGGAGGACGACGAAGAAAGGGAGAGGAAGAAGAAGCAGAAGAAGAGCTCCAAAGATGCCTCCTTAACGTGGCAGTGGCAGAGCATGGTCGAGAATCTCCAGTTGGCTCACCAGGAGCTCTCCGTCATCATCGACCTTATCAACACTGTAAGTTTCCTAGCTATTGATGGTGTACTTAGGTTAGGTTTTTTTTTTGCTGCGTTTGCAACTAACCTTCTTTCTTTTAGTTCTCCAAAGTAAAATTACATTTGATTAAAAGTTCTAGTAAATATAAAAAATGAACATCTGTTTCATACTGGAGTAAAACCATGTATATTGTGTATTAATGTTTAAACTTCTCTGATTGAATTTATTACCATTATCCTTCTTAAGTAAACATCTGAATTTTAACAATTGAAAATCGATGTGCGAGTGTTGGGTATGTTGAAAAACACAGCTAGGCACATGATAAAGGGTTCTTTTCACCTTCATTTTTTGAGACATAAATGGACAACGAATAAAAAACACATGCCTGAAGGATTTCAAATACTTGAAATCCATAAAGAAATAAGAAAAACAGAATGGAGAGTTAAATGTTGAAAAGAGTAGGAGTTGAAAGCAGAGTATCAATATGAATAGGTTACAAGGACAGAACAAGAGAAAAAGAACATAGAAGTAAACCTAATGATACAAATATGAAAAGAATTCTCTTGTTCAGCGAAATGCTATTGTATGTTAATATTTGATTGTAAAGTATCAATCATACATTTTTATTTTATATTTTTTTATTGCAGTATCTGTGTCTTGACTTTCTAGAAGTTCCTGTATCGCTGTGTCCATGTAGTGTTGTACCTTTGTCGTCTGCCCATATCTGCATTCCCTAGGTGCCCTGTATTGCCATATCATTGGCTTTATCCTTGAATTAATGAATTCTGAAGGTAAAGAGTATGGGAATACATTCTCTTCAGTTAGTGAAGCACGATCTATATTTGAAGTTGCTATTTATTTTATTTGTCTGGTTAGTTTTCTTTTTCCTTTGATTTAGTAAGATAAAGTGTGGAGAGTGCTGCTTTGAATGGTAAAGGAGCAGTTATTTGAATATAATGTTCATTTTTTCCTCTGGAAGGTGGAAGCTAATGATGCTGTTACAGTTGCTGGCATGACTAGGCCTAAGCCTTTACCTAATGAGGTCCTGTCCGATCTTGCAGTATGTGCTGCCACCAAGCTACAATGTTACCGGGTATTATTATTCGTCTTTTGGGGGAATAAAAGTGCTGAACTTAATTCTTTGGTTGAATATGAGATTGAGTAGTGTGACTAGTGTGGTTATAATTGCTATTGAAAATATGCCTATTTGTTTTGGTACCAAACTTTTTTTTTGTTGAACTTTACTTCTTTATTGCAGCAATTGGGTAAATACTTTAAACAGTCTGCAAAAGGTTTTGAAGAACAGATTGCTCGGGAAGCAAGATTTTATGGTGCTCTAATAAGGTATCCCTCTGAGTTCATTTAATAGAATGTATGTTATGAAAGTTTATTGCCATTAGGTTTCAGCTTCTTTACTTGTCAGTCTACAAATCTTATTGTGTAGTTTGCATTGTGCAAGCCTTGTTCTTTTTTACATGCTCCATTTCTCTTATTTCCTAACAAGCTAATAGATTGCAGCAAAATTGGAAAGTTAAACGACAGCGGGTGGCAGCTGCAGCTTCTAGCAATGAGGGCTTCACTATTGATCTTTTTGATAATTCATTATATGATTTGGCTGCAATGTGTCGCCCATCTTCTCTATCTACTATTCGTGTTGAACATGATTCAGCTGGAATGCTTGCTATAAACTTACCTCCAAATTCATGTCGGTCTCTTCACTTCGGTTTTCTTGGTGTGCATTCTGCTGATATCCCAAAAAACATGAGTAAGATCAAAACCCGTGGCTCAGTTGAGCAGCGCCCAAGAGAGAGCGAGAAAGAATCAGTGAGCGATGATGACTATGTCAAAGAAACACATAGTCTCCTTCGAGAAGTTCATCAATCAATCTTTAATGATCAGGTAGATTTTTCTTTCTCATATCCTTATTTATGACTTAAAAATATGCATTTGTTTAATATTATCATGTTTCTTCGGTTAAGGTGTTTGAGATGTTGAATCGTGAAGCATTCAACCAATCTGTTGGAGTGAATGTAACTGGAATACGAGAAAATTATCTGCAATTAAGTATAGGTCAAGGAAACACTCTTTTCATTTCACTTGTGCCTTCTAATAAGGGTGATAGTCAGGACAGTGGCGATACCCAGAATATAGAATCTGCAATTGTGCCTTCACACTCATTTGTTACTGGAAAGAAATGGGTTTTCCCTAATCGTACCAGTTGTGAAATTTATCTGCAGCAAATTGTTCATGAAAATGCATTTGTAAAGGAAAAGGATAAACCAAATTTATCTGGTACTCAAGCATCTGCTCAATCAGGAAAGGATGAACCTAGTCTTCTGGGTCATTTCTGTCTGTCCCTGGCTCATAGAATCTTTTCAAGCAGAGTTCTCACGGAGCTGGAAAATGTGGTATTTTCCTCACTAATCATTTGACATGGTTTACTACAAGTTTTCTTTGGATTTTGTTCGTATTTCTAATATAACTTTCCATGATATCTCTAGGTTTGCAGGGTCCCATATCTCCATTTGATGACCCATCCCACTTGGCATTCACGGACATCTTCTTGGACAATCTTCATGAAAGTTCCTCAATCCATTCTTCATGCAGAGTCTCGATCCCCGAAATCAGACCTCCAGAACATGAAGAATTCTATAAAATCACAATTCTGTACTAAGGTTGTGGTGAACGATGACCGTATCAATGTTGAAGGGGAAGGTGCTCCTAATGTTGTTGGCCTGTTCAAAAGTTCCGAGAACGTATGTTCTGTAAACAAATATGAATGTGACTTGGCTGATCTTCCGGTTATAATACTGCTGCAGGTAGGTTACTTTTGTCAATTTCTAGGAATGACATCACCAAGTTTTATTTTGGGACCATGTTTATGCTGACATGATCTGCATCTCATTTGATATTTAATCAACTAACGTAAGCTGCTGAGTAATAATGTTGGAGTAAGTGTGAAACATAGCCCTATTTCTCATTTTTGCTTTATTCTCAGCTTTCTTTCCTACTAAGCAACAGAAAGATGGTTGTTTTGTTCCCCCTAAAGCAAGAAAAAGGAAAGGCCCCTACTGTTCTGAACTATAGTATACTGTTTTTAGTTATTGGTGATGAAATTTGGTATTCTTGCATGATAACTTGTTTACTCTCAATTTTTCTATTTAACTTCATTATCAACGGTTTTAATATGATAATTTCATGTTGTTTATCTGTGGTCTTGTGGAGGTGCGATTAGAAAATATACACGTTTCCGTGTCATTATTTTTGCTGATATAGTCCTTCCATGCGAATTGACACGTTAATCGACTCTGGCTACAGGTTGCAAGCCAAGTAATTTGCTGGCTTCATGAAGAAGCTCTTACGGTGGGAATAAAAACAAATCGCGATTTCCTTTGCTTGACATTTGAGCTAGAACAGGGAGAGAATGTTAGTCTGGTTGCCCATGTGAACCCAGGAGACATTAAAGGTGGCATATCTTGGTGGCTAGTAATGGAAGATGGTTTTGCAGAGGATTGGAAACTTCAAATGGACATGCATGATGGTGCATCCGATTACAGAAAGTTTTTGGGGCATTTAACTTTGGATGTTTTATACTCCACCTTGATGGACTTGGTTAGCATGTGCGGTGGAAGCCGAAACCACTGAGCCCGTTTTGTTTCATTACGATGCATGTCAATCGGGTTCCTGTACGATTTAGCAAGTAATTCCGCTCTTTAGTTCCCCTCCCTAATAGATTTAAAAGCCATCAATTGCTTAGTTTGTAAATGGGCAGTTGGGGGTTAGAATTAATGCTGGTGAATGGAATGTTTAACGACGTTTGTTCGATATTTTCTCACCAGCTATCTAAATGGACTGCTTTAGCTTATTGATTATACAGGTTCTAGGTTTACGGCAAAGCTGGAAAAGCCTGAGGAGGAGCTTTCATTAAAATTTCCAGGTCAGTTCACTTTCAACCAACATATAAGAGTCGGCTAAAAGGGCATCAAATTATCAAGAACGTGCCTGCATGCCCATGGAGCCTCTTGGCTCCACATTTTCTTAAAGGGTAAATTACACGTTGGGTAACTAAATTTTACTCTCCTATCTCACTCACTATATTTTCAATTTCCTCACTAAATTTAATAGATTGAATTTTTGTCACTCTGTCATTAAATAATTAAATGGTGTTACGATATAGCAACTTACATCAAAACGACATCGTTATGATTAAAGTACGAGTCGCTAATTATTTAACGGTGGAGTGATAAAAAAAATTGATCTATAAAGTTTCGTGAGTAAATTGAAAGTACGATGAGTCACTTACCAAACATGTAGTTTATCTTTTCTTAAAACGAATCAAAGAATTCCAAATGATTCTTTTTTAGATTCTTTTTTAAAAAAAGAAAAAGCATGTGCTTTGCAACCATAACCAAACTTTCCAAAGGTTGTTAATGCATGATTAATCAAAAATATCTTATCCAATTGTCACCCATAATCCAGCTCAGTCTGTAAATGCAAATTCCCTTTAATATGGTGGTTGGAATTGAAAGATGATGGTGTGTTTTAGAGAAGTGGCGGCCAAGTCTTCCCGCACTAATCCTGCTATTCTTATTTGTTTATTTAAAGAGAAAGTAGGTTAATGAAATGATCGTTTAAATTTTATCCAATTGTTATAATGTTTTTACACTTGTTATACTAAAGGGTAAATTACAAATTTGGTAAATGAATTTTCATGCGATTCCTATTTTACTCATCATACTTTTAAAATTTTCAATTTGCTCACTCAATTTTATGGATTGAACTTTTTTTTATTACTCCACCGTTATATCACTAACAATTTGTTGACATGAAATATTTTAATATTAAACATACCACATCGGATTTGCACAAAACAATAATAAGTGTAAATTACAAATTTGATAATTGAACTTTCATATTATTCTTATTTTACTTATTGTACTTTCAAAAAATTCAATTTTGATCACTCAACTTGATAGATTGAGTTTTTGGTTCGGGTGGGATTAACGGGCGTGGGGTGGTCGGAAAATAGTGTCAGACTTAGGCAGTGATGATGAGAGGGTGAATCGATTGGGTTTTGGTCTGAAATAGGAGAGGATTTCAGCAGTGACGGCGGTGAGACGAACGAACGGTTGAGTGGTTGAAAATCGACGAAAATCGATGGGAAGCTTTGGTTTCTCGATAAACCTTGAATAATTTCTATACGACGAACGAGGAGGAGCATTGTAGATCGACCATCAGGGTTTTGGTCGCGGTGGCCTAGCACTCACATCAGTACTAGCGGTGATGCGACGATAAGGGCAACGGTGGACGATCGTTGGCGTGATGAGCGTAGGTTATTTTTCAATAAAAAAGAATTAGTTATGATGTATCCTCTAAAATTAATTTTTTTTAATAATTAACTAAAATAATTATTTAAATATAATTCAATGAATTCTTTGGACCAAAACCAATCTTGACTTTCAAGAGCCTAAAAGTAAAAACTAAGGGAAAAAAAGGACTTGCCTTTGCCTTGCAAAGTCAAACCTAAAGTAAACAAAGCCTTGATATTCCCACCAATTAACTCTCGTCATGTGATCAAATATATTATAAATCAGGGTAAATTATGCGTTTAGTACTTAAATTATCAATTTTGATTCGTTTTAATATCTAAACTTTTAATTTTTTAAAATCATACTTAAAATTTAATTTTTGTTTCGTTTTAATACATTGTTAAAAATTTTAATTTTTGTTTCATTTGTGTCATTGTTCAAAATATAACGCTTAAGTTTTGAAAAAAATAAAAGTTTAGGTAGTAAAATAAATCAAAATTGATAGTTTAAATATTAACGAGTTAAATTTTTAATGGTAGATTACTAAAATGAAATGAAAATCAAACCTTAGGTATGATTTTAAAAAAAATAAAAAATTTAACTACTAATCAATATAGATACTAAATACGTAATTCATTTCAACTTAAGGTAGAATTAAAAAAAATGGACAACACATTTTTTCATTTAAGTACAAGAAACGAATCAATTTCTCTTTCTCCTCAAAGGTAAAAAGGCACATTTTTTAAGTTTTGTCCTATAATTTTTTCTCTAAGTAAAATATCAAAAGACAAAATTCTTCTTCTTTGTAATTATTATCATTTATTACATCATATTTTTTCCTTTTTTTTCATTGGCATTGATAACTAGAATCTGAGGAAAATTATTATTTGCGTGTCGAGGGAAGCTGAATCCACATCTGTATCTGTGTTTGTATCTGTATCTGGGTTTTGTGAGATTTTGTGGGGGGCTTTTGATGGGTTTGTTCTACTCCTCTCATTCCTTCTTTTGATTTTTCATTGAATTTTTTTAGACGATAAAAGTTGGAACTTGCCGTCTGGGTTCCTTCACCAGTCTCATTTCTACTTTGGATTTTCGTTTTTGCATTGAATCTTCTTCAGTTTTCATTTCCAATTCCTTGGAATTGTGATTCAAAAAGAGGGTTATGGTTTGGACATTGGAGTGAGGTTTAACAGTTGAAGAAGTACGTCTTACTAGATTCTTAATGGAATTCCATTCCAGGAAGTGGGGTTTTTTTAGTTCTTGAAAAGATTGCATTTTTGTATTTTTTTCCTTTGGGGGATTAATCTTGTGAGAAAGGATTAGAAATATGTCTGGTGGGTCACCAGTTGCTGGCGGGTACCAGTTGCTGGCGGGTATGTGAGGCAAAGGCATAGTCAGGGATATGCATCGAGCAACGAGGACCTTGAGGATGATGCATGCTCCAGGTTACATTCTTTGTCACGGGAAACTCTGAGAACTAGGACTTGGAATGAGATTCTGGAAACTGTGCTTTGGGTTGCTTCAGCATTGTTCATAATCTTCTTTGGTGATAGGCACTCCAATTTGATATATCTGTTGTGGCACGATGAGCGAATCAGGAGGTAACCGAGTGGATTGAATTTTTAACTTAGTGTGGTTTAGAATAGTCAAATATGCTGTTTTTGTTTGATTTATGAGAATTAGATTTAGTTAAGTGCTTTTGATGCTAGAATTGTTATTTGGATGCTGAATAAATGCTAATATGATATTCGCAAGGTTCATTATTAGTTTTGCTTTGGTTGCTTCAATGTCAAAGTTCTAGGAGCTAGTTAACGCTGGAATTAAATTCAGTTAAACTAGTTAAAGTAAAAAACAACAATTCTAAAGGGTTCCTCGGATTGTTTGAAATGTTGCTTCAATTGGTTCAAAAGTTGATGTGTTTTGGAGTCATTTGATATTGTTGTTGAAATGGGAGAACCAATTGAACTACTAAACCGGTGGACTTAAAAGTAGAACTACATTGCTGTTGCTGAGCTCCAAGTTTCCATTTTAAGTGTTGCTTTGCACTTTGTTCCTAAGTCTAATCGAGAAGTTAATTTTTTGGGTTTGAATTATTGTTTTTATGTGCAATTGTGCTTACTGCTTAGATCTATTTAGCACGAAATTTATGTACACAATAAAGGAAGCACCAGCTTAGTTATAGAAGAATTCAGGAAGCTCTGTTGTTGATAGAGATATTAGGTTCTTTTTTGTGGATTCATCTAAATGTCTGGGAAAGTTTGTTTTGAAAAGCTTTACCCTTTTAGGCAATTTTTCTTTTGAATATTACATTTAATGTTTAATACTTTATGGTCATCAGGAAACTTTAATGTTTAATATTCTATATTTTCTTTACTTTGTCAATCTTGTTGTGACCATGTATATTTTTGTACATGTGTGTGCATGCACATCCAATGATAAAATCAAGCTTATTGTGAATGATCAAATTATTTACAAAAATTGGAAGAAGTATCCATAATTATTAACTAATTGAATTTGGCTATTGACTATTTTATTTCAGTTGAGTACTTTTTCTTCATTTTATCTATTTTATCATGTTCAATATTATACTATTTATGTTAACATTATTACATACATTAACATTCTTAGATATGTCTTCAGGATGAAGACTTTTGTGTGATATTCTCTGATGATATTGAAGCACCATGTGTTCTTTGTGTGTGTTTTATTATTCATCATAATCCATGTGCTTTCCTTTGATGTGACAAGGCACTTCTAACAAGGAACTTCATAATGGATGTGATACAAACTCATCGTAAAATACGTTTTAGTTAGCCAGTGTCATGTTCTAGTCAGTTGAACTTTATTAGCATCACCTTGTAAGCTGTGCTGCTCATATCATTTTTACAATCCTTTATGACCAGAATCAGAACATGGATCATGATATAAAAATCTTTTTAACTTTTGAGATCAGATATCCAAATATATGTTTATTGGTAAATCACACATAATTATGTTTTTCAGATTATCGACATGTTGAACACGTTGCTAAAATGGTGAAGTTCACCCTATAATGTAACTAACAGTCTACCTATGACCTTTGCATTTAAAATGCAATTGTCCTGGGTGGTGTCATCAATAGCCTTGTAAAAGCCTCATTCAGTTGTAATATCAACCGTCTAGAAAGTGATACCTTGGTATTGGTCATTTCCTTATGTAGTGGTGTTGATGGGCTTCTGTTAGGATCCGGGATCTAAAAATATTCAACTTTTGCAAGAAATGCAATCTGCTTTTTCTTATGATTTCTTCTGTGATATTATTGCCAATGGAAAATTTCTAGAAAATTTGTGCAATGACATTGTGGTTTCATCCCAAGCTTCCATGCTCTTGATTTATCCAGTTTTCTCCTCCGACTGCAAACCGAAACTAACTGTTTCGAGTGTCCTTTCAATTTATCTAACACGCATTGTATAAATTTCCTCTTTAATATAGCAGCCAATAAGACTTATTTTTTTCTGTAAATTTGTGATAACAAGATTTTCATTAT